TTGTAAAACGTTGGCGGATACAATTTGTTCTTTCAATTACAATTTTTGTTTTTGCATTATCAACAGCTATTCTTATGATTGTTGATAGCGCAACTGATGGACATATAAAACCAAAAGATTTTAAACCCAAACATAAAAATGATTTTAGTTATTATGGTAAATATCGTACTGATGTTATTATACCAATTTATTGTATATCTGGTATAACACTTGGAATGGTTGAATCGATTCGACGTGTTATTCCAGTTAATATTGTTGGTGGTAATATAATTAAATTACGAAAAATGAATGCTATAGTTCATATTTTCTATGAATTATCAGGTGTTGGTGGAGCCTTAATAACTGGTCTTGTATTAATTCCTCGTTTAGGAAATAATTATGCATTTCTTATAACACCTATTTTATTTACAATATCAGGATTAATTTGGTTATTGATTCGTTCAGTTCGTGAAAAACCAAACAATGTCAAAAGTGAGCATGTACCATATATAAAACAATCAAAATTAAATTTTATTAAAAGAATTACAAAACCACCGCTGTTGTTTATTCAATCAATTTATATTGGTGCAAAAATAGTTTTTACAAATCGAAAATTTATTTGGTTATTTATTATATATCCATTTGCAATTTATACACATCGATATATTGAAAATATTATTGGTCCACAAGTTACAAGACGTTATCTAAATCGTTCGGATTGGTCACAAATCCTTGTTGGTGGTTCTAATTTTGGAGAATTACTAGGAGCTTTATTTGTATTTTGTTTTAATGATATTATTAAAAGTCCAATATTACCAGTGCGGTTTGATGCTTTAATGTTATTGATTATTTGGTATCTTCCATTTTACTATCCACCTGTTGATCAAATTAAATATGCTTGGATTATAGCAGCATCATTGATACCAATTGGATTTACTTCAGCTATCGGTAATATTTCTCTTGATGCATATATTCAATCATCTTTAACACGTCTTGAATCAAAACATAAATATATATCACCATTAGGAGCTGTTGTATCATTTCTTTATTCAACATATATTGTTATATATTCAATAGCAAATCCACTTCTTGGCAAACATATTGATTATGTTTATAATAAAACCGGAAATATTCATTCAGCACTTATTTATGTAGCTGCTTTACAATTAACAATTATTTTTATTTTGATGTTTGCTGCAACGTTTATTCCAAAAGGTGCTATTGCCTTTAATCCAGTATTAATTGATGAAGATGATGAAACTATGGCGAATGATAATACTGAAAAGTTAAATATGATACTTGATGAAAATGTTGATCGTGGTACAATTGCGGAAACAAAATAATCGAAAATACAATATTTATAAATCATACATACAAATATTATTGATCGTTTTTTTATTATGCATAGCAGGTAAAGTATTTTTTTAAATTAGTATTTGTGTAATAAAGAAACAATGTAGAAATAATTAATTTAATACATTAAATAAACAAGCTGGAAAAGATTTATTTTATAGTTCTTTCTTGTCTTTTTGTTCTTCTTTCTTTTTTTTTTTTTACAAAGTACAAGATTTTATTTCTTGATACTCTTTTATAAATATGTATTTTTTTTCATTTAATTTATTTTTGTACATTAATAAAATATAGAAATTCAACATCAATAATAAAGTAAACATATTACAAGACAAAAAACAAATATAACTTAGACGTTCTCACATGTAAGAATTTATTATCGAAGACTTTTAACAATTTTTCATTTTATCACACAGTGTACTCGGCCTATTCAATTCAATGCATTTTCTTCTAATATTTTAATTATTATAGTTAATCAAACTATTTGGACATATGTTAAGCATAGTCATAGAATAAACAATATAGAATTTAATTGTTGTTCACATCTGACCCAATCTCACAAGGCACTTGTTTTGCTTTCTTACTGTAAATTACAGGCTATATTAGAAAAATTGGCATCAAATATATGAAACGTGAAATTACTTATGAGATCTGTAGTACTCGTCTATTATTTTTATATTGTCACAATTTATCTATAGGAGTCATTATGTAATCGATTCTCTGTTATAAACCGAAAGAATTAAACTAATTTTTAGATCAACATTTTCTAGCAAGTCGCTTTTTTGACTGTTCATTATATATTCAATGGTATCATTTGGGTTTTAGGATCTTACACTAATATAATTTCAAACGTTGACTAATAATTCTGTGATTAACTAGAGAAAAAACTTATCGATCGCAATTTATTCTAGCAATAACTTCATTTTAACACTGGGTATTTTATCTATGATATATCATTTAATAAGAAAACACCTTAGAAATACATTTTTCAAATGAATATAAAAATATGATATTAATCTAAATCTTTATTTGTTCCTTAAGAATTATTCGAAGTGTATTTAACAAAAAATCCAACATATAGAGTTGGTTTTGTTAGTTCCAAGATTCAATATGCTCTTTAAAAGCTCTCTCATAATACTTATAAACAAAAAAACAAAAATTCGAAAAAAAAATAATCCGACAACAACATTAACTACATGTTATTAAAATATTGTAGAATTACATACAACCATCATTTCTAAGCTCTCTGCTTGTGATCTTATAGGCATTTTCTTTCTCACTGTTCAAATGTATGGAAAATATGTACATTCAATATTTGTGACAAGTTCGTATAACTTTATATCTAAACCAACCTGATTTATCTATTCAAGATAACTTGAATCAGTTTATCAACAATGTCAAATATTTTTATACATATATTCAAGTAAATCATCTAATTGTTTTTTTTTTGATTATGTAATAAACACTATTTTATTGATTGTATCTCTTCTTAGATGAACATCAAGATATTTTGTATATATATTATATAAACTAAAATCTGAATACAAGCTATTTAAAACATGCTAAAAGACATACAGTAGAGCAGATTTGAAGAAGAATTATATTCTCAGAAAGACAAACGGCAGTATTTCTCTAAGATAATAATAAAAATTTATAACAACATTGCGAATCACATAATAAGCATCGAAAACTAATTCACATAGATATTGTTATAAAGAACACTTTTGTAACAAGTTTTATGAAGTGATGTTATTCATACAAAGAAATCATAAAGAATATTTCACTTCGATAACAATAAAAACAGTTTGGAATTAAGACATAAAGAAAAACAGTTTTACAGGATAAGGTCACATAAATATTTCACTAATTGAAATCTCTGATTCATTTGGATTCTTATCAATTATTTATTGATCTACGATTATTTCTTATTCAAATACACACACACACACACATTGCTTTTTAAAAACAAAAAAAAAATGACTTGTTAGAAGATCATTAAAATGGACAAAAAACTAAAATCTGTTAAATTGATTGTTGAGTAATTTGAAAGCTCAAATAACACACATGAGATCTCTGAGAAAAACTTAAAAGGTATACTTATTCAAAAAATAGCTAAACTAGTAATGTTTTTAATAAGTAGATAAACGATGATTGAAAAATAATTTTCGAATATCATCCATTGTTCGACATTCGTTGATCATACCAATAACTCGATCTTTCATATATGAATATTTGAATGAAGAATTCTCTTCAATTTCTTCCATCATAACATGACGAAAACATTGATGAAATGTTGTTTCTTCATTAATTACCCCTTGAATAACATTTTGAAGAATATCTTCAGCATTGACTAATGGAATGTATTCACCACCTGAAATCGGTAAGAAAAATTTTTGTAAATCAAAATAAGAGAAAAATTTGTTCTTACCTGTATTTTGAGCTAATGCACAGTAAAAATCATCACATTCATTAATACTTTCTGCAACACCAACAACGACTAATGTTATATTTTCTCTGTGGAATTCATTTGATATTATCCAAGGATCTGCACCATTTAATGGCGTAAAAAGACCATTCGGAGCACCATCAGTAATTAAAATAACAAGTTTTTCGTTGAATATCAGATCATTATTATTCTGAAAAATACAAAAAAATGTTTTATACTTATAAAGCTACAAAGATTTTACACACATTAAGACGCCATTGGACGTTGAGAGCTTCACGTAATGCATCACCTGAAATATCAAATATAGTATTGAATTCTATACAAACCATTAATTGTAATTATCGACAGGCTGATTTCAACAAAGAATTTTCACTTCGTAAAATTTTAAAAATTGTATTTAATTAGATATGATATCCCACTCTTTATTTATGAAGAATCGCTATAAGTAATTCAAAACTTTTCCAATGTATTTTGCTCATAAGTAGAACATGGTAAAATGAAAAAAAAAAGTTTATAATAATAAGAACCCAAAGACTTTTCTTTTGAAAATATGATCACTCGACTAGATTTACTACCTATGACAAAAGGTTTTGATGATAAGAGGTCGCCGAACTCCAATGTTTTAAACATTTTTAATTTGGTTGGTCTATGCTTGTACTCATGTGTTCCATTATTAATAATCTTCTGCCTCTTTATTATTGTTTCTTTGATTTTTGTTTTAAAATCAAAGATCATTGTCAAAAAAAGAATACAACAATGACTTGATAGTTTAGATTCACGTTATGAATATGATGATATTACTGTTGATGAACTCTTAGGTAGATTATCTATGTCGTCGTGAAAACTGTTGCATCAAAAACAAAAAAGAATGATTATTTTCATTTGTTGATTAGATGCAATTTGTTAATTTATTTATAGTATGAATTAAACTATGAATGATGCTGTTCTCTTTGTTTTGTATTCAATAAAATTTTTTACCATTGATCGAGATCCTTATGTTAATCTTTTTTTTATTTTCTAAACATTTTTTTTTCGATCTTTTTTTTTTCTATATTTTCCATGATAGCATCATATCTTCTGGAGAAAAGTTTATGGATCTGCATTCTTTTAGGCTTTTTTAGGCACGTTCTATCTTAATTATAGATAAAATATCGGTACAAAAGTTTTAATCATTCAAGACTTTTTCTTTAGTTAGCATTTCTCAACAAACTACACAATTATAAAAAAAATACAGCGCTTGTCAATAATGTGAAGCTGTATTGCGAGTCAACGTATTACTTTTTTCTATTTTATATATCGGCTTGTCCACGTAACGCGCTACTTCGCTGCCCAAGTTTAAAAAATTTTTTTTTTCGATTTCGACACATCTACACGTATTTTATGGTACAGTTTTTTACACTGATTATGAATTTGGACATTTTTCTTAAAACTAATTGGGTTTTGGCATCGAAAACCGGGTTTTAAAGTTTTCAAAAATCGTATTTTCAATTTTCTAACCAAGAAATTTAAAACTAAAATGCAGAGTAATATACCATTCGATGCAGAATTTGATACTCTACAAAATGGCCTATTCAGTTTTTACTCTCATTCCTCAGAGCAACTTCTAACCTCTTGTACAGTTTCTAACTTATTGTACAATTATTGAACTCCCATTTCGATGTAACAACTTGATATTTTTACAGAACGATATATGTACGGCAGTGATCAATATATGTGAACATTAAATATTTTTAAGCATGCTAAGTGCTTCAAATTTGGTCGACAAAAAAACATGTCACAGCGTTACGTTTGTTTTTTGCATTTTTTATCTAAGCAAAAATGATTTAGAAAAAATATTTTTTACTGCTTGAAAGCTCATTCAATTCTCTACAAAACTGGCACCATAAGCGTTTCATTTAAAGAAATAATTTGTCAAAAAATTAGAGTTTCATAAGCAGCTCTAGAGAAAAAGGGTCCTTTTTTGTCACAGCGTTACGCGATGATAAAACCTTTCTAGAAACGCGAGAGTTCAGTCAAACTAGGTCGTTCTTGCAACATGAATAGAGTATGATGAGCTGCGTCGAATGATGTTTGAACGATCTTATTAGTCCTTATGCCTTTCGAGATAACTGCGAAGCAATTTGTCAAAATGTCACAGCGTTACGTTTGGACAAGCCGATATACGAACAACAATAAAAAAAAGTCGAAAGAGAAAGAAAGAGGAGGCCCGTATTTGTACTAAAGTTATGGCAAACATAGAGAAGAACATTCATTTTCTGCAATTATGATATTGATGATGTGAAGATTATAATCATAAATAATAAAAAATTTAAAAAATTCAATGAGACCCTCTTTAACCATCAAAAATCTGTTTTTTCGTACCTACAGCTTCATACCCATCTGGGCTTACACCATCTGGATTTTCATTAGTGAGCATTTGATTAATTGCATTTAGATCCTGAGTAAATCCATATACTCGCGTTGCCCAATCATCACCATGCGATTGAAATTTAATAATACTTATACGAACACCATTTTGATTTGTTAATGCCATTGTACAAATAGCTAAAATCATTGTACGAATTTGATTAAAATAGGACATTATTGATGATGTATAATCAATACAAAAAACAACATCGGTTACTGTAGGCATTGAATGGGTGACAATGATGAATAAACTAAAAAACATAAGTATAATAGTATATGATAAAGCAAGCGGTGCGAATAACGTTTACTACATAGAAAAAAAGTGATTATTATTGGTTGAAAAGAACATACAACTGCGTAAAAGAGAAAAGGCAAGGAAGTTTTGTGTATATTAAAAGAGTGTCTTCTAATTATCTCTTTGTTTTATTCTTCCACACATTACGATTTTTCTTTTCTGCCCCCGTATCTTCTCATTATTGTATTCACGACTATTATACAGTGGTTACTAGTAAAAAAGAAAGAGAGAGAAAAATGTGTATGACGTTCGTTTTGTCGCACCACCTTGGCTGCTTGAACCGGCGGCTGTTTTTATCTTTTTTTTATGCAAAGAAGGCTCATTTTCGCAAAAATAGACTGATTATCGTCAACGTCATTTCTTTTTTTTCTTCTTTCATTCTCTCTTGTTATTCATATATTTGTCGAGCTACTTCTTTTTTTTTTGTAACGGTATCTTCTGTGCATTTCTATTTCCAGATTATTCTATTCTGCATTTCGTTTGGCTCCTTAAGTTGAAACAACGTTAGCTGAGAGCCTAATAAAAAAGTCGTAAAGCGGCTCCGATCTTCGTAACTATACATCGAGAAAGGGTAGAGATGCATCTGTGCACATTTATAGTCCGTTGAGAACTATTTTGTAAAGGATATGTTGATTTCGTTCTGACTTCTGCATGATTATGTAACTAAACAATATATGTGCATTAGGCATTGTTTTTCTCAGCTGAATGATTCTATACGTCGCAGCTTCTCATTGGCGATTTTTGTAAGTAAAATAGAAGTAATAGATCGATATATGTAGCATAACATAAAGAGAATACCTTGTATAATTGATGCCAGTGATGCTCGAATGAGTAGTCACATATGAAAATGTCTTGTGTGTGTGAATAGATTGTATTACTAAATGATAATAATTTAATAACGAAACAATTGTTTTTATAGATTTGTATAAAAGATATAAATTAGTACTTATAAGTTTTTTCTCTATTCTATTATAATACCTATTTATTTTGTTGTTGCTTATAATGAGTCGTTTCTTGGAAGAACACTCATATAATTTTTTCTTTCTGTCATTTATGATGAAGAAAAACACAGGAGCCTGACATCAAACGATGATTATGGTACGATATTGTTTGCTGTACTTCTATCAAAAGAAATCTGAGATTATTAAGGGTAAAAAATCATATTGATAAAAACCACTTTGTCAATACATATTAATAAGAATATATACTCAATTGAAAAACATCAAAAGCTGACTATTAATGATTTTGTGTTTTTGCTAGCAAAAACGATGAATAAATCATTTTGTATGATTCATTATCTATCAAATATTACCTTAAAACATATAATCGATTAAAAACTAATTCTATTGATAATTATGCAAAAATCAATTATCACATGAAAAGTAAATGAAAGAATCAAACATCGTCGATTTTTGCATAATGTTTAACTATCTTGTTTCAATCGTCAGTTTATTACTTAGATAAATCATAATTAATATTAAAACACGAGAGTTGTTAAATTATTGATTCAGTTTGATAGTAATCAGTTAATATTGTTTATCAATAATTCTTGTTAATTATCGAATCGTATTAGTCACCAATCGTCAGAACTATTAATAAAAAGATTATAATGAAATTTCGTCTGAGAAGATCTTGCCAGATGATAAATCGGAGAGTACAAACAAGACTGACGTTTGAAATTTTGTCATATTATTCACCTTTGATACTTTAACATAATGATATCTATCGATATCATTATGTATCTCATATTGAACATAAAGTAATAATCATGACATGGAATTAAATGTTTATCGTAATGATATAAATCAAGTATAGCACTTTTTGAATCGAACATTGTAATGCTTTTTATTCCATCATTTATTCTCCATACATTTCTCAAAATGATTGACGAGCTATCGAAATAATATATATGGGCGTCATATTGTGTTTGTAAGAATTTATTCATTTAAAGAAAGAAATTTTGATGACGTAGAATCAAACTGATGCAACATTTATTTTATTTTTATTTTTACTGATCCATTAGAGCCTTAGTGTCATTAGTATCAGAAATTATCGAAACATTTCATTAACATGATTCAATACGACAGAAGTCTCATCCTTTAAACTATTTTTTCTCATTATTAGTATTGAACAAAAGCATGTTCTGATTGTGTATTTTGGCTTTTGTGAAAAGAGTACGTTTTGAACTCAGATGTGCATGTATTCTCATACGTAGTGTTTTTTTTTGAAAGTGCTTTTCGAACGGCATATTTAAAGATCAGAAGGATGTTCTGCGCTAGGTTTGTCAGCGAAGAGCATGTTGCGTGTTGCCTTCATTAGTACTACTGTGCGATATCTTTAGCATCTTGTGAAATTTTCCAAAGTATACTGCGTATCCAATTGAAGGCATTTCCCGTAGACATTTCAGCTAAGTCCAAGTTACAATATGTAGAGTCTGTCTAAGCATGCTCAATTGACGCAGATGGTTTATGCTTATAGCTCACCCGCGGCATGGCATGATTTTGTTGAAAAATTGCGCACTCATGTGAATGAAAATTTTCTAACCGTTGATTTGTTTCTTTGGGAAAATGGAAGAATCCTGCAGGTATTTTGATTGAACCAGAATTATTTGGGATTGCTATGATCATGGCCTGTGAAAAAATTTTATCAACAAGGTGGAGAACACATAATGTTTCTGCATTTTTTGCCAACATGGATCTTATGCATAAATATTCTGGTTTGGCCAAAAGGATCTCAAAAAGGTTTTGGAAACGAGTAAAGAGAAAATTTGAATGTTAAAGCTCAATTTTATGTACAACCAAATAGTATTTCTATAAATCCCATGTAAGAAGATGAAAAAAAGTCTGAATTTTAATGAACGGTTTGTGGAAGAGTAGCCATTGAAATTGGTAGTCAGATTGTTTTGATTTTCCATTAATTCCCGTAGATCATTCGAATTTTTATCGATTTTAATCGAAGTTGCCTTAAAACGCGTTTGTCTCAAATTTTAATTAAGAAACTCAAATTTCAGTCAGATTTTTGGCCTTCTAAGATGAAGACATGGTAAGCACAAAATATAAAACTGACATTTGACATATATACCATTTTCAAAGTACAATGTTAGTTGATACTTACTCTAATAAGAGAAAAATACAGGGGAAAATGGAACTCAATCGGTTATCTCTTGATTGCGTCGATCTAAAACTGAGCGAAAGCTGCAAAGAAAGATTTTATATGGCTTTGCTCGATAATTTGATTGTAATCAATTCAAACGGACTTTTCAAAGATCTATTTTAGTCGAATATAATCTGCTGAAGCCGATAGAAAATCAAAACATTTGATTAAGGTTATATGAAAATAGTGTTATTTTATTAGATTTTCAATGAGAAAAAGCATCTATCAAAATCAGATTATTATTGTATTAGTTTTACATGGGTCAATCTTCAAACAAGAAGTGATTGGTTTTAATTTGATTTACTGAAGTTTCCTTACACATGATAGCTGATTTTTAAAGGATCTTTTAAGATGTAGGATTATTTGATCTTAACTATTTAACAAACGACAGGATTAATATGTCCCACTTTTTTCTTTTTGATTGCAGATCTATAATAAACTAGATTCAATGTCCGTTGTAGAAAGAAGGATACTACTCGATAGATGGAACTCATTTTTGGTTACTCAAGTTCAAGTAACAGTGTTTATCTATTCCTTCAACAGGGAGTTTTGAAGAAG